TCAATATAGGAAATACCTGTAGAGCAATTTAAAAACGTGTTTAAATATTAAGAATTTATTGGTGACTCTCATGGTTGTAGTTTTACTTATAGAGAAGTGGTTTTGTTTGATATTGTAAATTTATTCACAGTGTGGCACATTAAAGAATAACATAATTTGTAAAGGATTTTATTGATCATTTGTGAATTGATTCCTACGCTAGCTATTGATTTTTTTTCACTTGTAGCTATCTTTAGTTTTTATTTACTAAAATTGTTATTTCTTAGATCTCTACTTGATTGGGTGCTGTTAACGGTAAGTCTCTACAGTATTTTGGAATATTGTGGTTCTTGCTTTTTGGTTGTCCCATTATTTCAACCCTGATGTTATTTTCCCATCCTTTTCTTTTTATTTATTTATTTTTTTAATTTTTTTAATTTTTTTTTTTTTGCAAGAAAAAATTCATAATGTTTTTTTCACCAAATATTTCATTTATTTTAAGTCTTATTTAAGATGTTGTCTTTCCTTTTCAAGCATTTTGTAAAAGTGTTTTATTTCTCATAATTTGTACTGTATTGTTTTTGTTTTATTTTTGATGGGTATGATATAGTAGTTTGCCTTGACCATAGGTTTTTTTTGTAATACATTAAATTTTGCTTTGGTCTTTATGAAATTTGTTAGTCGCAAGCTGTAAATTCCTATGTTGGTAGGATCATGTTTACATTTTATCTATACACTTATTTTTAAGAACATTGTATTACAAACAAATATTGGTCAGAAAAAGTATGACCTAAATTCTATTTGGGAAAACATTCTTCTGTAATCATTTATTATAGAAAATATATTATTATAATTATTTATTATAAAAAAAAAATTAAAAGTAAAAACTGAAAGATTAAATAAAAGTTTCCTAAAATATTTAAAATGAAAAATCATTTACTTATTTACCTAATGTAAAACAATTAGAAAAACTTAACAGGAGTAGAGGATCATTTACATTATTCAGACTGTTATCCTCATCTTTATTGCCATATTTACAATGTTTCAGCCGGTGTACGCTTCGGCCTTCTTCAGGTAATTAGAATTTCAAACAGAGCTCTTTATTTTGTCCACCGGAGTAGATCATGTGCCATGCCTCTTCCAGATGTCTCAGTTATTTCCCTTTAACTCTCTAAGTTTTTTGGTTCACCACTACTGTAGCCTGGTATTGAACTCACAACTCTTTGGGTCTAGTCACTGGATCTAACCAGTGTCTTTATCCATTAGGCCATGTGTAGAGGATCATCCTTTGTTTCCTGTTTAGGATATGGTTTACTGGTTCTTACTTTTTTCATGGCCATAATCATTTAACTGTCTTAATTTTTTGATGATCAGACTAATTAGTGGCTGCAACTGATTAATAGGGTACTTCTGCATCTCACTGGTAGTAAGGAGGCCAAACTCTTTGGTAACACTTAAAGAGGCTGCTCTGATTAACAGTTGCATAATATCAGGGTATTTGTAGTACTATATTGCACATGGGTAAGTGTTCCTCTATGTATTTCTGGTGGGCAACTCTGAGGCCACATTATGCTCTGGTCTCGGCCACATTCTGGCTAGTTTGTATTGCCATTGACAATGGTGATAATTATATTGGTCTTTGATGTAATGGAATAACCTGTCACCCCCATGAGTGGCTACACTATAGGTAGTAACTACCTATAAGTATCTGTAAGTCAATAGACTACAGAGTCTAGCAGGGATCTGTTAAGTACGACTCAATGCAAGAACTACCGACCTTCCAATAGTAGCACTTACTACTGGATTGACTTGTGATGACCTTGTGCATAACTGTTACCTTTATTCTTATTGTACTGTTTTTTTACAATAAACCTTTACTTATTTTATCCACCTTGTTTTTCAAGTATATATTCCTATTAGCACAGAATGTAACAGTCTTTTTCCTTTTCTACTCAATACAAATCTAATGACAAATACAATGAAAAGAAATACAAAAAAAACAGTAAACAAAAAAAAAAAATCACCTACTCTCCTCAACCTTTCTTTCTCCACTATTTGTGGTATTCATTCTAACTTTATCAATATAGAATGTCTTCTCTTGAAATATTGCCAGATATCTTTGCACTTTGTGAAATCAATTTAAATTCTTCCATTGCTACCAATGAATTTTCTGTTCCAGGCTATCTTCCACTTTGCCAAAAAGATTCCCGCATTCACATGCATGGCCTTGGTGTTTACATCCGGGATGATCTTCCAATTGCAAAGGAATTGTCATTCAAGTCCCCTGATTAGTTATCAATTATACCACCCACACAAATTGTCCTTTTAAAGATATATTTTTAGTTTCTTCATTTAATTGTTCAGTCTTGCATATCTTTTTAGTTACGTTCCACATCAGTTAAGTCATTGGATTTATACACAAAGGACTTCAGGCAGTTTGATGTAATAGCAATAATCCATTTTTGGTCTCATCTGACCCTTGTGAGGATAAAGCATAGCAGAAGGAGTAAGGCAGCATAAA